AATTGTAAAAATATTTCACAATATTAGTGTATTATTTAGAATGTTAGTGTATTTTGTAAGTTGTAAAAAGAAAAATTAGCATTAATCTGTATATAACTCTATAAATTCATAAACATGCTTTTGCTAAAAATCTACACACAACATTGTCTTGGTGACAAATCAGCAGAATTTTCATCAGCAATGTAGAATACATGAGAGACAACCAAATATTTTAGTTACCAAGGCATTAAAATTTTCAGTGATGATTGAAACTCGCAGCAGGTCATCCTTATTGTTGAGCTCTGTAGTTTAACAAGTTATTTGATGTCCTGTTTTTAGACTTCATTGTGGATTTAAACAAGCTCCAGGTTCAGTTGAACAAAACAAACAGTGTCATGATTTGTATGGTTAAAAGCTGTTCTTGCATTAAATATGTGTATCTCTTTCTGAACCGTCTCAATTTCCATCACAGGTGCGGATGTGGACACTGTGTATTGGCAGCTCTCTGGTGTTTGGCCCCATTCTTGGGAAAACATGGCGGCTCTACAGAGTGTTCACTCAGCGTGTGCCAGACAAGAGAGTGGTGAGCTGTAATATATGTTTGTGTATGAACAGGCTATGAATCATTGGTTGATATCGCAGGCTTCACCATAGTGCATTGTTCGGTTGTGTTTCAGATTATTAGAGACATCCAGCTGATGGGTTTGGTTGCTCTGCTGGTACTAGTGGATGTTGTTGTTCTAGCAGCATGGGGTCTGACGGATCCGATCAAGTGCTCTCGCTCTGTTAGTGCTATGGTGAAGGTAGAATTTTCACATAGCTCTTGTTAAAAAAAAAAACTCACTATAGAGGTAGTCCATGTAACTTGTGCACTGTATTTCAAGCCTTGAAAAAGTATGTAATAGTTCTGTAAAAGAGACACATTTACTCAGAATCTAATTGCATACTTAAAGCAAGGAAATCATACTTCATTTTTGAAGCCTCACAGCTATTATTTAAAAATAGAGGGATATAAAGAGCCATTAAAAGGATGACTGATGCAAGCTCAAATCATTCATGGCATGTAAAGTATTTTTTTTGTTGTTGTTTTTTGGTCAGGTAGTGGAGCGGGATGCATCCTACTCTCTGTCCCAGTTGGACTCCTGCTCTTCTCTCTACTCGGACTTGTGGGTAATCCTGCTCTCTGTGCTTAAGGTAAAATTCAGATTTGCCTTCACAGGAATCAATTACATTACATTAAATATATTAAAATCAAAACGTTGTAATAAACATTGCAATAATATATATAGTATATATAGTTTATATGCTTCAGAGTAGTGAATCTATTTGTCTTGCTTTACACTTACTCTCTTTGCTGTTTTGCAGGGCAGCCTCCTCCTGTACGGCACGTATCTTGCCGGCCTGACAAGCAATGTGAGCTTACCTCCAGTAAACCAGTCTATGACCATCATAGGTGCTGTCTGTCTGGTTACCATGTCGAGCGCTGTGGCCGTACCTGTCTCTCTTTACCTGAACGCCTGGCCCAATGTGGTCTACAGTGTAGTGTCTGGAGCCATCTTCATCTGCACAGTGGCCATAAACTGTCTACTGTTTGTCCCTCAAGTACGTCCCAGTAAATTCACTGCCAATGTCTTGTGATTTGCAATCACACTTCTGGCGTTTCTGGTCTGAAAAAACGTAATCAAGAGGCTTATGTTGATGTACAACCGGTCGATAAATCTAGCACAGGAGAGGAAGCGGGTGATGATTCAGCATCAAGCATCAAATGTGTTTACACAATGTGTCCTGTACGTTTGGAGAGGACACTGCTAATGTCAGCTCTTTATGACAGTGTGGATTTTGGATAATATTACACCAGTAATCGGAACCAAAGAGCTCTGCATCTGTGTATTATGAGTGTGTGTGTGTGTGTCTGGTTAAGATAAAAAGGCTGGCATAAAAAGGGAAACATTTGATCAATGAGTCACACAGGCCTGATAATACCTGACCAAATACCAAAAAAAATGGCACAATAACTAAATCATTCAGTAACTGAACATCAGCAAAAAACACTAATGTATGTACAATAATGTATATAATTTGATACCCTTGCTGTATGTACATCTCATTATTATTATTCGTCCCTTTAGTTGACCCAGTGGAGGCAGTTTGAAGAGGAGACAAACTCTCACTCCAGTCAAATGGCCAAATACTTCAGTAGTCCCAGCAAGACCACACACTCCATGTACAGCGAGGATGAGATCTATTATCTACTTGGAGAAAATGACTCAATGAAAAGACTCATCAGTGAGGTAACAATAATTATTACATTTTAATTGTTATTCAAAGCAAAGTGATGCACTTTTCACTTTACTTTTGTTCCTTTTAGTATATATATAGCATACACACCACAAAGTAGAGGGATGTGCTTTTCTAAAGCCCACAGTATACTTTGCTTGTCCACATTCTGTGTCATCTCACAGACCCATGTGTGATTTAATTTTCGTCATAAGCTCCAGTCTTCTAATGTCTGCACATAGCCCAATTTTTCTGTTTGCGAGGACAACAGTGCATGTGTGAATGATTGGAAGCTCAAAAACAAAGGTCCACTTGACATTAGTGTGCACACATGGCAAACACATCCATCCATGCTCACAGTATACTTTGGACCTTTACATGTGTCTTAAATTCTTAAACTAAATAAAGAAAATTTGTGTTTAAAATGTTGGCTTAAAGAAAGTAAAAAATAAAAAAATACAGTAATCTAAAGATTGTTTAAACTATATGTATTTGAATACAAAATACTGTGTAGTTGCCAGGGTGTTCTGCTTGGTTCTGAATGGTATTCTGGATAGACAAATAGACAGGCAGGTGGGTAGATAGACAGAACTACTCACTGATCGACAGACAGACAGACAGAGAGACAGACAGATAGATAGATAGATAGATAGATAGATAGACAGACAGACAGACAGACAGATAGATGATAGATAGATAGATAGATAGATAGA